CAGAAAATTCCCTTAATTTTTTTAATTAAGTATTTCAATAATTAATTATTATAAGTTTTACTGTAAATTTTAAATAAATAAAAATGTTTGCATATTTTTTACATATTTTCATGATTTCGACTGCATATTTTTTGCATATTTTCATGATTTTAGCTGCATATTATATGGCATAATTCGATACTTGTAAGTGCTTAAAAATCCGCGATCTATTTATAACGTTATGATGGAAAAATGTCTAGATATTGTGGTTGTATTGTATCTATACAATTTTTGACTAGAGATATGATAGTATCAAATGGCCATTACCAGYTTTTGGAGTGTACGCATTAATGTAAACTTACGTTTTTAGTGATTAAAATTTTATTGAAATCGTCTCGTTTAATTTCCATTTCATCCCCGACAGTTTGTCTAAATAACTGTTCCAGCCACATCAGGTTCTCGCTGTCAAATCCCGATTTCACCCTAAACAATAATAGATGTTCATTTATAATTTTATTTATTGAATGCATTGTCTAAACAAAATAATTCAAGACAGATAATAAACTAACTGTTTAAAAAAAAAATACAAATTTGTGATATAATCATGAACTTGTGTTTTATTTTTTAAGCGTTTTATTTTTACTGTCGTTTTATATTTTTATAGCCATTATTGAGTCACAAGATATTACCTGCAAGAGTATGTAATCGTAGTTATCAAATCCATTGCTTGTGATGGCGTGATGATTCCGTCCGAATCTTTGTCAATAAGTCGAAATACTTTTTCGACGATCTAATTTGAAAAAATAAATAATAACAACAATAAATAAAAATTAATTCACACCACTCTAATTTTTAAATTGTTTCCAAAAAGTTACAAATTAATGCAATAAAGGTTTATTACAATACATATGTAGAAACATATTGGTTATATCATATTTAATAATTCCGATGAATTGAGTGAATTTCACTCTTCGCACAGTTATAAGTCTGTAAGTCTGTTCCATATTAACGCGTGTCTATCGCATTAACAATATGAATACAGCTGATTATAATAATAATAATAATAATGATAATGTTAACAGTCGATAATGTTCAAAAATAAATTCGTAAAATGGATTTTTCCAGCAATCAGCGTTCTCATGATGTAAAGTAAACATGTAAATATAGGATTTTTATGTGAGTTCGTTTAACATTATATATTAATATTATTATTATTTTTATCAAATTTYAAAGACTGTAAAACGTATTTGTATCAATAATGCGTATCGTTTCGATACTAGTGAAACCGAAAAACTACCTATTTCATAGAAGATTAATTTTTCATTCAGTTTCTAAYAGTTTTGTGTAGGTAGGTAGGTATTTAAAAGAAAGTCGTAACAATAATTTTTTACTACTAAATTATAATATTATCTCTGCTGTATTAAATTATTGTTATTATTATTGTACGGATGTAGAGTTTATTTTTAGTTATCTACAATACAGATACGTATATTATATTTTATGACTTATACCCACACATTTTGTATAAAATAAAAATATATTGTAATATAATACTTATCATAATAAATCATACCTAATTCATAAGCATTTAAGATTTATAAAATTAACGACGTAAATAAAATAATTTTATGATACCTGTATAATAWAATGACTAATGAACCTTCTAAATACAATTCATAATGATTATGACTGTAAAACGTTTTCATACCGTATCTTACAAATTATTTTAGACAGAATTAAAGATAATAATATCAATTAAAAATATTAGTATGACATATTGGCATTTTTTAAAGTGAACATGTAGAAACGTAGAGTTACAATAAACACAAAAGGGACGTTCTCTACAGGTCCAGACAAAACTTAAATTTGACTTATATTAGACATATTAAAAAAACCAAAATGCATAATGACTATAATTCTTGTTCAAAAACACGACCAAACGTATTTTGACATAGCACAACTAGGCAGGTAAGATGATGTTGTCATCATTAGCCGCTCGTTGCTCACTGAAGACTGAACGCTTAACGACGTACCTAAACAATAATTCTTCTTAAATATAGTACTTATCTACCGATTACGAGATTTTTACCGTTTTACTGCCAGAAGAAACGAATCATTATTTTTGCCCGGAAATGTATCCGGTTTAGCGGCGTTAAACAAAAATATTTCAAATATAATATACATAGATGTTATATTTTTCTATATCTCAGGTTGGTACGTCTCATGTGTTGTCAGCGCCGGGTAGGTGAGGTATCGGCCTACCTATGTGTTTAAGATTTCTGACGTTTGATTACGGCTTTAGCTATTGAACGGTTTAATGATTCGATTCAATTACCAACATTTTTTACTTATATTCATTTTAATTTTTCATTATCATACAAAATTAATATTACAGCCAAACACTTGTGACCGTCCCACCGAGATTTTCTTGGTTGCTCGAGGGCACAAACCTGGCCTATAGTGTTACCACMATTTATTTTTGTTACACGAAAATGTTTGATCATAAAACGATCATATGATTAAACATCATATCATATTATTATCCTATCCTCATCACACGAGTAAATTATATAATAACATATTCCAGGGCTTGAAATCGTTTTTAACCATCGATGAACATTCTACAAGAATTCAAAAGTGATGTCAAAATTAAATATTTCTTTTAAAGTTATTTATTTGAAATGTATACTGAAATTGAAAAAAGTGTAAATCGTTTTATAATTTAAGAGAATACACAAATCCACCAAAATTAAAAAAAAAAAAATATTTAAATTTAAAATAATAACAATAAATCAAAAATATTTTCTTAGGTTTATTACACAGCTTTGCAAATGACACACAATGATAATTAGAAATTAAAAAAACTAAAACCGTAAAATTTCAAACTGATATTTTAAATCGAAAAAATAGTGCTCAAAATATAATTGAAAACCATAGTACAATATTGAATTCAATATTGTGCAACTATATGAAAATCATAAATTCAATTTATTATTTTGAAAAGTTAAATCAGAAAAAAACAAATATCAATAAGTGAAATTAAAATTTTAAATTGTAACTACAATAGTCCTGATAAGCCTTTTCGTCTACTTCTCTGTCCCTTTCAATGATGGTCCCCTCCACTTTAATGATGCGTATAAAACATATTTTTTTTATGTTACCGTAAATGCCCGATCACTAGATAAACCTAGGTTTTATTAGTTAATGCTAAATTTTACTGTTTGTACTCAGTAAATGCTGACATTTTTAATTTTATTCAGGCTTTTAATATAAAACACGTTGTGTACATTCTAGGATATACAAATTGACATAATAAAAGCTAATCAATACCCAGCACATAAAATTTAAGCGATAAGCTGCGTGAAAATTATAATTATATATTATTAAAACAAACTACTGACAGTTATTTTAATTTTTATACAAAATAAAAATGCATTTAAAATGCCATAAATAGTACAAMATGTGCAAATAAATAAAATTTCAAACAACCCACCAATTTTACTAATTTTTATGAATAAATAAATAATAATTCTGTTTTTAAATGCTTTTTTATTTTGTATAAAAATGTAAATAACTGTCAGTAGTTTGTTTTAATAATAATATATAATTACAATTTTTACGCAGCTTATCGCTTGAATGTTATGTGTCGTGTATTGATCAGCTTTTATACTAAGCCAATTTATATCCTAGAATGTATACAACGTGTTTAGTAAAAGCCAAGTTTAATAAAATTAAGAAATTMAGCTTTTACTTGAGTACAAACAGTAAAACCTAGCATTAACTAGYAAGACCTAGGTTTACCTAGTGATCGGGCATTTACGGTGACATATAGACATGTCGAACACTCTGAGAGCTCAACAAAAACTCGTTCACACGGATATCGCGATCATCAACCCGCAAGAAAACTATACTTGAATGAATTTGAAAGTTAATACTAACCAGCCAGCTGGCATATAAAACACAATAATATTTTCAAGGACGTAATCGTAGTGGATTTAAATATTTTGGGGATTAAAAATCACGACGAGTTTCTTTTTATAGGTAGGCATTAAATTTTTAAGTGTATTAAAAAAATACTCTTAGAATATTAAATCAAACGAATTTTTAAATGCAAGAGAAAATAATATTTTATATAATACCACATGTTTAATATTATTGCATTCAGTGCAATGTGATAAACTGTAATAAAAACTTTTTTTCTGAAAGTATTTTGGTTTTACTATCACTATCACCTTTCGATAATATTAAACATCAATCTATCAGGTATACGTGAAATACTTATTTTTCTGTAATTACGCCATATACATGTGCGATTGTGTGAAATACAAAAATAACAATGTCCATGACAGCTGTAAAGAAATTTTGTCTCCAAAAAAAATTACATCTACAAAAATAAAGTAAATGTACTTTCGTTGTAAAAAAAAGCATTTTGATATTGTCAATATTATTCTTATACCCWTCGAACTGTCGTATATAATAATAATTGTGCAGAGTGCATTTAATATTTATTTTACACGACATATTATCATTATCGTGCRGTGCAAGTGAACATGATAATAWWTTGTAATCGTAATTATTTCCATTGATGACAACAAAAAGTGGTAAAATACGAAAAAAATAATTTTAAGAAAACATCGTTGTCACCCTTTATTATTGTCTAGGTACCTATTCGATGTCCGTTTGTAACAAATTACTGCTTCCGGATATAGTACGCACACGGCTCACGCCATTCGATGTATTAACACTTCATGCCAATTAGATATTTTATTATGATAATTTAAAACCATCGACCGACTAACTAGCCTTAAAAACCGCGAAACAGCCGTTTTTTACAACCGCGTCTAATACGTTCGAACAATTATTTAATCGTCAATTACCTGCGAAATATTATATTATACGAGGTAAGTCCCCGAACAACAATTGACATTTGCATAATTTTATAATGTTATGTGCAAATTATCGAAATAAATACTTAGTACCGCAACGGCATCATCGTTGGCAGTATATTTTTCTATTATTATTATTATTATTATTATCGCAGAGTCAGCTATACCTACAACCATATATGCATACCATAGGTACCGGCCATCGTGCCGCGAACAATTATTATCACATATTATAATGTTTATTATGAAAAGTTATTGCGAGATGAATAAAAAAAAGTTACGCGCGCTTCGACTTGCTGCAGAGAATAAGGTACGGCTCTATATTATAGGCACGTCGTRTATAATATTATTACCCATGTTTGTACTATAAATCGTGCGTTTTGCAATGAAAGTCGTTCACCGCGGTACACGAAAAATACGGTACCTATCAAAATCAAATCGTAAATTATAACGTTTCGGCCACGCGGACAATAATCACGAAATAATAATAATAATAATAATGATATTATTAAAATATCGTATAGCTCGTATACACCGTGTTATTATCAAATCGCATAGACGCGACTAGAGCAGCTAGCCGTTGTATTATTATCGAGGGTGCTGAAATGATTTCACTCGTATAATATAATATCACAGTCGTACAACGCACACACCCGCGGCAGCTACCAAACGCCTTCTTAACACCTACCTACCCATACATTATTATTATTTAATACATCCGTTGCCTGTAACTCGTGAAACACGGCATAGGTTTCGAATTTTTTTCGTTTTTTTTTTTTTTTTTATCGCTCGGGACAAACGATATTATTACTACACGAGCCAGACAAAATATCATGTCATTCGCGCGTATAATTATCATCACCGTCATCATCATCATCATCGCTGCTACAGATGTTTACGTGGA